ACGAACATAATATGACGTTGTATACGTAATAGTGAAAAGTTTCAAATTCCCGTGAATAATATTTTTTAAATTATAACAAAATATCTAAAGTTGTTATTTTTTATTTAAACACACTATTTTTTCAACAATTTAACTTTAAATGTTTATAAAAAGTAAATGGGGCATAAATAATTTTGTTATTTTTAGAATTATGTTAAATTAACTTTCAAAAACCTTATATTTAAAGTTACAGTGTCTTGGCTAATGAAATTGAATAGTAATAGTAACATTGTTACCTAAAAAATCTTTTTTATATTTTTGAGGATTTGATCAATGAAATCAACATTTGAACTTTAAACTAAAAACGGTTAAAAACTTCGAAAATGTGAAGTAGGAACTATAAATAATTTAAAATGTATCTAAAAACTATAAAAATTAATAATAATAATATATTATAAAGAAAATAATTAATTTAAGTAATAGTGAAATTAAAAGTTTCTAAGGTTTAAATTTTTTGAATTATACCAGACCAAATTAATAATAGTTAAATATCAAACGTACTCAACATAGTATGCCAAAACTTTATGGAAAATAATTGTGGGTTTTTACTAAATGTCCTTAATAAATCGATTAATAACAGTTCTTGTTATAGCTAGTATTATAATTTTAAATAATGAGTGTAATATTATTACTACTTAAATACTATACTTAGTAAATACTTTTAAGTTAAATACTATTAAATAAGTCATAACATTTATTTTGCTTAAGTCTTTAGCGGGTAATATACTTCAAATTTGATCACGTATTTATAAAGATTGAATTAAATAGTAATTATTTTCAGAGAATTTATTTAGATAGAGTCGTATTATTTTAGAATTTTGATTCAGAATGAAAATTGTGTCAAAGTAAACTGACTAGAATTTAATGTGAGTTAAATTGTTTTATAAACTAAAAGTTTTAATATACATAATAATATCATAATAATTATTTATTGTTTATTGAACTATTTAAGTCTACCTATACTAAATAATTCTATACAATACATCAATCGTCATGTATAACTAATGACAAACGTTTCGACCCACAAATTGATACTATTTAGTTTTGTTTTCGTTCGAAAGCATAAATCGTAAGTTCTATACTCATGGATGGCAGCTACCCAGTTTGTCCAGGCAAACATGTTGGCAAGATATTGCAATTTCTCGCGGAGCCGCTTAAACATTATGTCTATACAGTTAACGGTTCCATACTTTTTCTTTTCTTCCTACTAAATTTTGAGATAGACTAGATCGATATCGACCGGTTTGGATTACACGCATTTATTGTGATACAAATATCATGTGATCAGGATTTTCGTGGACAAAGAATATTGATTCGTTGGCATCTAGCTGTCATCGGCCCACTTGCGTCGTTTACAAACGCATTATGTCACGAAACCTTTATCAGCAAAGTTTTTAGTAACTTTAAACTTCGAGGAATTCGATTGATTAAAATCAGGACTGTTAATTTAATGCACTTTAAAATTATTGAATGTGCATAAATAAAGACAAACTTACATTCTAAAGCACTTAAAAGACGATAAATTACAGTATTTAAAAAATAGTTAAAATAATATTTCAAATAGATCATTGTCGAAATTTATTTATCTATTAGTTTATGCTATTCTGTCGTACATAATTTAACTATTTATAGTACTCACTATACTATTTTTTGTATTTAAAAATAACTATCGTATTTCCAAAGTAGAACGCAATTTTTATTTTTTTTTTATTTTTATCGAAATTCGTAAATATTTATTTAATTGAATCAACGTTCACAAGTCGAATTCATTTAGTTTCATATTAACTCGATTGATTATTGTTGTGCATGCATATTATAATAATATAACTACACTGTATTCTAATATAAGATATACAACCAGTGATTAAACCCGCATCCATATGGTCAAATTATGACCACACACACACACTCACACACACACACACACACACACACACACACACACACACACACACAACACATTTACTGTCTGTGTAATGAGTATAATATTATGATATAGTGTGTACATGAAATATACACAAAGCGCTTACACTTTAAATTCGACGACGATCGCCGAGACTGACGACGGAGGCTTATAATATATACTTACGACTATAACCGCAAGTGTGTATATAATTAGAAAAACACTGCATGTCCCTTCACCCCTTCCATACTCACCCGATGACCGCCGAAACCGTCTTCTTTTTATCCGCCGTTCACTACTGCAACAATACGCATATGTATATAATATATATATATATACAATATACATGAACGAGTAAAAAAGTACATTTCGTATTGTGATATATATCTATATTATACGCGTATATCGCACTCGTTTATAAATTAGTTATTATTAGTAAAGTGCGGTGGCGGCGCGTATTGGCAGCCGGCGGCGGCACGCCCGTCTTAGAACTTTGGCGCTCATTGCCATTGACGTCGTCGGCATTGGATATATTATAATATTAGGTACCTCTACGCGGCGATACGAATTGATGCATCGTTCCGCAATCGCTACACCGGTGTTAAGTCCGTCACTTCGGTCGCGTATCGTCCGTCGATTATAATTCAATAATACACCTATACAAAACACGATATCGTCACATTATTATGTAGGTACGTATTATTATTATTATTATTACCATAATATTTTTATTGTCATCATATTCGATCGAACGTCGATACTACGATATTACACATTCGTGATTCGATACGTTTTTTTATTACATAGATTTTGATTAAATTACTCGCGTCTTCTGTTATTAAATATTGATAATAATTAATAAACGTCGGCGTGCGAGTATAATCAGGTTAATAGTTTTTAATGGACGACCACGACCGTAAAATTATTAAGAAATACGAATTAAATAAAAAAAAATCTACGACAACGAATACTGGAATACAATTAATTATACTGTTACAATGCATCAAATCGAGCTGAAGTCTCACGTAATATAATATTATGAACGTAGGCATTATTGATGTTATTAATTTATATATATGTACCAACACACGATTTACTAAATATTTATAAGTACTATGATTTATGATTGGGCATTAAAAATAAAATTGTAAACAGTATTTTTTTAATTTGATAAATAAAAAAACAAAAACAAAAAAGTAATAATAATCAACTATTACCTTAATAAGGCAATTATTATTATAATAATATAAGTATTAGATGTCAAGTAGGTTACTACGATATGTGTGATAAATTTTAATTCAATGATATAACATTGTATAGGTAGGTACGAAAAACAATTCTGAGCTAAGTCAGTTTATATCACTAAATATATTGTTTGCCAATATTATTTTATCTAGTTTTAAGTAAGACTATGATTTTTGTATTTTTTTTTTTGTGTGTTTCTTTAATCGTGGTTTCAGATAGATAATAGATAATTTGATCTATCAGACTTTTAGTATTATAGCAGATTTATATAATTTTTTCAAAAATATTGTATTTATTATATAATTTGTATTTCATTATTAAAATAATATATGTTTTTATCACATTTTATCAAATTTTATAACACAATATTAAATTTTAATAACATTTTTCTGTAATTGCCATAAAAAAATAAAAATATACTTAAGTACCTACTTAAATAATATTTTTAAATAAATCAAAAATATTATTGTGTATAGTAAAAATTCATATTAATATAAAATACATAAAAATTTAAGTTCCCACAAATGATGTTTTTAAATTATAATCAAATAATTAACATATTATTATTGTTATTTATCGTTTAAACAAGTAATTTCGTCCAAATTGGAACTTAACATGTCTATGAAAAAAAAAATTGACTATTCGTAAATAGGTATATTTATTAAATTTCATGATTTCAGTATAAGCTATTCATGAAGAATCTTGAATTAAATTCATATTTTTTTCGATTATGAAAATAAGTACTTGGATTTTTAAGTTTAACTTCTCTAAAGTACAAACTAGATTTAATTTTATAACTAAAACCACCCTCATTTAAAAAAATTGAAATATTTTATTGACAAATCAATTTATACTCATTCACAAAAAAAAAAGAATACATCGTGATAAAATTAATTTATTAAAGCTTCGCTCAGAATCTAAAATACAATAGTGTATTACACAATATAGCATTTATATTAATGGATTAGGTTTTTTGGTCTTTGTAGTGTACAGAATGAGTGTTTTATTTATTATTCAGTTAAATAATTAAATAATAATTACCAATAATATGGTAAAATAGTCCATTAATTTCTCTTGAATCTTTATATTAAATAAAGTACATTATATAAAACAGTATAAAGGTAAATTAAATGATTTGCTTTATTATTTAAATTATTTCCTAAATTAAATTTTTATACTATAATTAAAGGAGTTTTGGGACTTTAAAAAAATTATAGATAATTTTATTAAAAAAAAAGTTAACTTATGACATTTAATTAACCGTGTAAAGTTTAAAAGTTAAAAACAAGGCAATAATTTTGTATATAAAACGTACATATACGTTGTATATGTATTAAAGGGTTAGCAGTAGTATTCAAAGAGTCTTATATTTTAATAAATTCTTAACAGTATTGAGCAATAACTAATAAGTTGTATTGATGCTATATAGTTTTTTAATTTTGTTTTAGTCTTTTGTACGTAAAATATCAAAACAAGTTCATAAAAAGTAGCGAATAATACAATAATGTTATGAATGATTGACAAGTGATTTTAGAGTCAAAAAATTCATTGTAACAAAAAAAAAAAAAAATAAAATAATGTTTTTGAGTAAACCAACATTTTTACCAAATCAAAATATTTAAATTTCAATCAACTCAAACTGCAACAATTTTTTAAAAAATTTGGAAAATTAAGTCAATTAAAAAACTGTAGTTATCACTTATCAGTGGTGTTCTTGTAGATCGTTTAATATTATGATACATTACAACCAAGAGAAAATGTATTTCATAATATATTAACACTATTATTTTAATATTTATTTTTTTACCCGTAGAGACAATAACTATAATCAAACTACCATTACGGCTGAAATCAAAGACGGACCCATCGAAGCCACAACGGGTGGTGCTGTCTCGGAGGCGGCAACACCCCAGATCGCGGTGCAAGTGGTCAAAGACGCTGGCAGTGCCAACGGTGTAACCACTGTAACAGAAACCACTATAGAGAACGGCACCAATAATATGGAAATGCAGATTGATGATGAGATCGATGAAGACGACGGCGAACGGTATTCGTCGTATTCAATGTCATCGGCGGAAGACGAAAACGGCAGTGACGGTAGCCATCAGGTCCCTGTTACAAAAGTTACGTGCCACGAAGACGAAATTGACTGTAATAAAGACTATAAAACTCAAAGCAAAGACCAAAGTTGTAACGGTGCTGCGGCAGACGCGACCGCTTCGCCACCTCCAGACGTCATAATGCATCACAACAGCCACGATGTCATCAAGCGGAAAGGTTCGCGACGAGGCCGTCGCAAGCGCCAGTCGTCCATTGCCGTTGCGGCCGTAAGTGATCCATCAGACGTCCAGATGATGCCCGCGGCCGGTACGGTAGGAGAAGAGGAAACGCCGGTAGAGATGAACGCGACGAGTACTGTAATCGACACTACTACAACCGACCCGTCGACCAACGAAGATAACACTAACATGAAATGCAGCAGCGACGACAACACTGCCAAAATCGTCGACAGCGATGCTATCGACGATGGTACGACGGTCGTCGAAACCTCCTCCACTAATGACGACAGTAATCACCAGTCCACGTCGACGACTGAACTGCAAACACCAGAGGTATGGTCTTCGGACAACGGGTTAATTGTATTTCATTGGTTTCCCCTTAATGACACGTTTTTTTTTTCTTTCTTTATAGCGGGCGCATACGGCAAAAATATACCCAACTTACGGAGTGGCGCTTTTGGAGCGGACGGAAGACATGGATGGCGCCGTAGCACATGGTATCAACGTGGATACTTCAATATTGGAAGACTTCGAGTGGAAACTCAGCGAGGTGCACCGGCAATGGAAATACCGCCTGTTGGAGCAAGAGCGTAATCTGTCTAACGAGATGAACAAGCGGCAACGCAACGTGGATGAAGAAATAGAACGGCGGGCATTGGTGCTTGCGGATGAGATGGTGAAACGCGAACACAGAATGGCCGAGGATATAGTGGAACACGAGCGGCAACTCAAGAGCGTGTTAGTAAGACGGGAACGGGATCTTGATGAGCGGACGCCCTCGGAAGCGATCAGACGTAAGCATGAGTTAGAGGCGTCGGCCAAGACCCAACTAGACGAGCGGAGACAAGCGTTAATGGCTGAGGTGGAGGCAAAGGCGGCCAAGCGAGAGAGGGAGCTCAAGATGGAGACAGAAGAGGCGATGGCAGTGGCGAAACGTGAGCGCCGGTTGGCCGCGGTGGAGGCTGCGAAACGCGAACGGGACGCCGTGACGACGGCGTTAACGGAAGCTGCGAAGCGAGAGCAACAGATTTTGGCGGACGCGGAAAAGCGGGAGCGGGATATCAAGGCAGAGGCGGAACGTCGGCAACGGGAAATGGTCGAAGCAGAGGTGGCCAAGGCGGCTAAACGGGAACGCGAACTTCGGGCAGAATGGGCGGCCCGGGAACGGCAACTGGCCGCTGAGTCGGAAGAACGTGAACAGCGTGCGGTGGAGGCAGCTGAAAGGCAGGTGCGTCGGCAGTGGCGACAGTCGGAGAGGGACGCAAAGGCTGAGAGCAGGAAAGCAATGGAGGAACAACAGGAGCGGGCTGAGCGTGAACTAGCCGAGGCACGTTCGGCGTGGGAACGCGAAAGAGCTGACCGAATCGCCGCACTGGAAACAAGAGTATGTATACGTTTTGTATTGCCATTTCAGTGTGTGGTATGATAAAAGTAGTTTTGTGCAAACCATCAACTAATCGTTATCATTGTGGTTAGTGTTTTGTGTCGATAAATACCTGCGGTGCTAAAAATACTGCACGCGTGACTAATTTTTCTTCTTCTTTTTTTTCTTAAATTTCGTCAATGTCATCATAAATTTTTAAGAAAGTCAAACAAAATTATAATAAAAATTTGGGACATACGTCGTTTAGTATTATTGTACGAGAAACACAATTCTTTAGTAACGTTATACTTAATATCGTCGGAGTTCCCTGAAAGAAATTTTAAAATATTTACATTTTACAATTTAAAATTGTTTAGCCAAATAATGTTCAATGTTATGCTCCTTATAATCGCAATTATAGATATGTTATCTATAGTGGAGCAAAAAATCACTTAACAACATGTTATGGTTACAACAAAATGTTGCAATAATTAATTTTAATGATTGATGACTATGAAAATATCAAAATATAACGATTATAAAATAGTTATCGCTTGAATTTAACATCAATTTATTAAAACAGATATAATTTAATTTTTAAGGTGGAAAGATTTAATGGTTGATATTATAGTGATATGTTTTGAAAATTGTCTTGATAGCTGTGGTTAAAAAAAATGTCGAATTGATATAAAATATGTCTTACATTTTTCCCTCATAATTAAAATATGAATATTTCTGAAATTAATATTAATATATTTTTTTTTTGGCTAAACTAACATAAAAATATTTTACCAAATTCTGTACATAATAATTAAATAGCACAGATTAGATTTAATATAAAAAATAAAATATCATAATATTTTTAAAGATCTGAGTAATTTGTATTGCTTTTATGTATTAATTTCTTTTTTTACGTTTAACATATTGTATAATTTCAGTAATTTCTAAATAATTTCGTTTCCTTCTTTAGTTCTATTACTAAAAATTGGAATGGTATAAAAACATTTTTTTATTTCATGTTACTTTATTAAATTTATTTATAACTCATCTTAAGTAAAACTTATTAAAGAGTTAATTTATAATAGATATAGTGTTTATCTATATATTTTAGTACTGTTTTCAATTTCTTTCACCAAATAATTGACACGTTAAAAATTGACTCGTGAAAACAAAAATAAAAACGTAATCTTATTTTGTTTCAAAATAGTAACGATGTATTAGGTACCTACTTATTATAGTTTAATTGATATCATCTATGCTGATTCAAATAACATAGAATTACAATAAATTAAAATCAATAAAATAACTTTTTTCCATAATTTAATAATATATGATATCTAACTAATAAACTCATATAAAATTTAAATAATAAAAGGTATGTATATACTGTAAATATAAAGAAATCTAAGTATATATATTGTATATTATATTATCAACTTTATAATGGCTTTTTCTAAACATGTTACGATACTAGAAAACAATTTATTGTGCTAAAACAGATTATGATTTTGTGCTCAAACGTGTTGTGTGTTGGAATAAATTTCTTAAATGTGTTGTAGTCCTTTATATATTGTCAAAATTTTAAAATTTGAACAATTAAAATATAATTAATTAATTACCTACTAAATGATAATAAATATCTTCAGAAAATGTACTATGTATTTTTTTAGTTATAGTTATTCTATTATAATTATCCAATAATTGGTAAATGTTTTTATATGATACTTTAAAATTCATAAGTTCTAAGTATTTATATCATATTTATAATCATTTGTAAAAAGAAAAAAAAAATTAAGGTGTAATTTGACTAATTAACGAGTTAAATATACCTTTGTAGGAATAGTGTGTTTTTTAATTAGGAAATTTAAAAAAAAATTCAAGCATTAAGCAATATCTTTTATATTTAAATGTTATCATACAAAGTCTTAAAATTATATAAAAACCACATTATATAAATAAATAGATAAAACCATACATTTTTTTTTAAACATTTCATCACTTTCTTGGCATCAATTAGCATAATATATATTGTACATATGGTTAATTCAAGACAGTCTTAATTTATGCGCTAATAATAAGTATATTTGAAAATTCAAAAATAATTAATCTAAACATATTACTCAATATTGTCAACTATTCAATATCATTATAGTAATGAATACTTATTTTTTTGTTTTCCCTTGATATTTTAAAACAAAGGAAAAAATATTTTTATTTTTTTTAAAGCACTATACTTAAATTTGATTATCGTATTTTTATTTCTGTTTGCGTTCAATGTAATTACTATGTTATGATTGAAATATTTAAATTTTAATAACTAATAGTTACGCTTAAAGTTATACTAATACCAAATAAATTGTACTAACTTAATATATTTTTATTAATTTTATAATTCTTAAAAATTTTAAAGATTGCTGTATAATGTTTACGTATATGGTATATAGATTTATTATGGGTAAATTATTTTAAGAGAAAACTATGTCTCCAAATAAAATAAAAATTGCTTCAAGTTAATCCACTTTATTATACCTTGTGGTAGGTGTGTAATAAATTATATTGATTATTTAACACTAAAATATATGTGAAAATTTATTAATTATTGTATATTTAATAAATATATTATACTTATTATACAGCTATGATTTAATGAACTTCAGTATTTTAATATTCTTTTGATATATGTTTTTCATAATAAAAATAGTTTTACTTTCAAAGAAAAAAATAGTAAATAAAACAATTTTCATAAACGTAGATAAGATATTCCACGGTTTGCTATACTTAACAAAATCACTTTGTATTTTACACGTCAATCATGCAAATGTGATCGACGAATGAAGTTTATATAATTACAATTGTTATTGCGCAGTGGGCTGAGCGCATGAAGGATGCTGTTCAAGCGGAACAAGCTAGGGGAGAGGCAGCAGCGGATGAGTTACGGCGCACCATTCAAGAGGAACATAAGCTAGTTGTGGCTAGTGCCAAGGTAGAGGCGGCCGCCGAGGCTTGTAACAAAGCTCGGGCCGAAGCAGATGCCGAATTGATTAAGCTGCGCCGAGCTGTAGACACGACGGCGCTGTGGTACGAGGACTTACTTGACGAGGCTCGTGCTGAACGGGACCGATGCATAGGTAAGTAAAAGACGGTCAAATAATATTATTACGACAGTGAGAAACTGCTTCAATCGTTAATTATTTTAAAAATAAAGCATTAACTGATTGTACTTTGTGTCTTTGCGTAGAAAGGGCTGATGAAGCGGAACGGAAACATTCAGAAGCGGAACGTCAACTGTTAGAAGCGGAACGGAAACAGTCAGAAGCGGAACTGAGACAGTCAGAAGCGGAAATGAAAGAGATAGAAGCGGAACGGAGACAGTCAGAAGCGGAAGATAAAATGAGAGAAGCAGTACAGAAACAGCGTGAAGCGGCATGGATCCAGTCTGTAGAGGAATTGAGGGCGCTGGAAGCTGAAGATGCCCAAAAGAAAGCAGAGAAAGATATGATGAATGTTTCCAGATGGTTGTCGGAAGTGGAGAGTGATCTAGCCATAGCTAGGAACAATAATGTCAGCCTGGAAAATATGTTAGCACAGTCAACCAATCGGCAGGTAGAAGCTGAGAACCAATTGCGAGAGGCAGAACAAAAAGTGATCGAATTGGAAATACAGTTGGCCGCCACCCTGGCGGGGAAATATGCTAATAACCGTAACAATGATGAAGACAAGGAAGAGAATAACGATGATGACGATGACGGGGACATTGAAAGTACAGTTACAGGCTGTGGTATGGCTACCGACGAGGATGACATGAATGGTGAAACCGAGCCGAAAAGCTGCTGCGCTCGGGCTGTCAAGTAAGCTTACTTGTTTACATAAAATAATATTATGGTCGTGTCATTTGGGGGGGGGGGGGGGGCTTAATATATCAATTTTTCTTATATTTTCTCGTTTACCTTTGCTCTTAACTATGTAAGGTCAGTTACCCTATTATTACTTTTTTATAGTATTCTGTGCTCCATCTTTTTTTTTAGTCAATTATAATATAATATACTAATAACAATGGCTATTTATAAATACATTTAATTCTGCTATACTGTATGCCGAATTCGTCAATTATCTTTGTAGGGTCTTACAATAACTCTGAACTAAATTTCCTTTACAATTTTTGATTGATATCAATAATAAATGATGATGACCCGTAGTAATCATAGATGTCTGATTCTTCTTATTGTCGAAAAACTTCTTTCCGCTGATTTTTTTATCATATATTAAAATAGTTATTGACTATTCGTTAATGAATGTTTTTCTTAAAAGCATTTGAGGATCATCGATTAATTTTACATTTATTAATGGTTTGTAAAGATAGATAATTATTTTCGACATTAAATATGTTCGATATACTGCTCTACGTGTACTTACACAATACTCGAATGTATTCACATTTAATAATCAGAGCCCAGTATATTTAATAAGATAAATAGATAAAAAAATTCTAGTTTTTAATTTAAAAATGTATATTTTGGGTATATTTAAGGGTTCAAAATTAAGGGTAGGCTCGGACATATCAACTAGACATGCTTTTGGTCATTTTCATTGTCTTTGAGTTACTCATTTTTATAACGTGATCTATTCGTTTCAACCTACTTTTTTATTTTGTATATTATTGACAATTTACACAATTCATACACTTTCACTAGGTAATAAATTCAATTTTTATTTTATTCTTCCTAGTTACTCCATATATTCTCACGTTAATTTTGCTTTTATCGTTAAAATTCGACATAAAAATCTTGCTATTTATTTTAAATGATAGCTTAGTGTTTACCAAATAGAAAAGTGTACATTATATGATACAGTTTGATAATTATGGACTCATAAAAAATAAATTAACATTTAATATTTCTATAGTTTAAAATTTTATTATGCATGAGTACAGAAGGTAACTTAAAGTAGGTATGTGATAAGAATTAAAACATTCTGATAAGTTACTCGTAGAATGGCTGTGCATAATCAAAATTTTTTTCATACCACTTACTAAATTTTAATTATTGATATAATAACTGTACAGTGTATTAAATATAAAATGTTATGTTGACCTAGGAAACGAGTTGCACAACTGATTGTTTCACATGGTCAGCGTATGGAAGAGCAGCGTGAACGGCATGCGCGGCAGATGCGTCGACAGTTGGAGATGTTAATGGACCAACGCCAACAGCAGCAGCACCATCAGCAACAAAAGAACGAACAACCCGAACAGTCCCAACACCAAAAACAACCCCAAAACCAACAACAGCAAAAGGAAGAACATAAGCAGCAACAGCAGCAGCAGAAACAGGATGAGCAGGATGAGCAATGGCAACTTCAGCAGCGAAGACGTCGACCCCGCGGAGGTGGAGGCGTTAGTACAGAAAAAACGGACGCAGGCAGTGACCGCAGACAACAACCGCGTTCGTCACCGCCTCCTTGCAATGGCGGTAGCGGAAGTAGCAGTAGCAGCCGAAATAGCCGACGCCGGAATAAGCATCGGCAACAGCAACAGCAACAGAGCCCAAATCATCAGGGACCTTCGATTCCGCTTAGACCATCTGACAGACCAACCGCATGACAAACGACGAACGCCGCTAATTTTTCATATTTTGTACTCGTATGATAATTGTTTTTATTACGTGGCATGAGCCCACGTTTATTTATAATTATTTATTTACGATTTTATTAATTTGTACTGATTTATTGGGTTTTTTTTTTTTTTTTATAATGCGTGTATTTCAAAATTACTTATTTACTATTACTACTATACTTATTATATTATATAAACATAATTATATTATAAGTACACCGTGGCCGCTGTCGTTAATGTAAACCGGCCACGAACACGCCCCTCAGAGACGATGAGTTTCTCAACCCTCACCCTAAATCACTTTCCTTTTTTCATAATAAAAAACTTAAAGCACATGGAATACGATTGAATATTGTTTGATCTACACACGGCTTTTATTTTATTCAAGCAGCAACTAAATCTATATACACATACATTATAACTATAATTCATAAGTAGTCATATTAAAATAGTTAATATTTTATAAAACTATTAACAGTAAGATGTCTATTGCCTATTTGGCTAATCGAATACCGTAGACTGAGTAAGAAGAGAGTATGGCTGATATTAAACGGTAAAATAACAAGAGGAGTAAATATACTTTTTTGTAACATTGGTCTAATATATTACATCAAGTAAAAAAAAGTTGTATAATTTTAGGTACCACAAAGGCACGTAATCGTTAAATTTTGAAATGATATTGGTAAGTTTATAGAGATGAACAGTGGCTGTTTATTTTTAAAAATAAAATAATTAATTGTTCTTGTATTTAGTCATGTGAAAAATATTAATAGGGATATTATCATTTAATTTTTAAATCATCAGTTATCACTCTAATCTCTAAAGTATAATCGGCAAACGAATTGTGATATCTAAATTAAAAACAAGCGCTGCCGTTGGAAACTGACTCCGTTGAAGTTTTTATCGTGTAGATAAATGCTGTATTATATAATATTAAATACAGAAAATCAGAATAATTATTCATTCTCACGAGTTTACGATTATACATTTACAAATGTATAATAGTAAATTTTAATTTATAATAATTATTAATTATAATTGTATTACTTTTGTGTACTCGACCACCTATGACAATTAAATATACAATTATACCGAGAGTAATGAACGTTAAGGCGTTGTGTATAGGCAATATGGTATTACATTTATGGAGGAAATGAAAAATAAATAATTTTGATGGTACTCTATTCGAAATGTGAGTTAATATGTTCAGGAAATGATTCACGTGAAAACAATAATGTAAAATGTAGAGGTAAAGCTTGATGAATGCAATGATTTGCGATATTAATAATTTACAATATCGTATTCAATTATTTAAACATAATTTTATTAGACATACACATTTACAAATGATTGGGAAAGTAAATTTTTTTTTCGGATGAAATAAATACAAAAATTATAGAAAAAACAATTTCGATCTATAATTACATTGTGATGTACAGCTCAATTGTGCCATATCCATTGAGTTGTTTACAAACAAATTCTTTAGGTACATATAAAAATTATTTCATTATATGGCTTTAAGTATCATAAAAAAATAATAATTCATAGTTACATAGAAAAAAGTAGTTTTTTTTACATCTACTATGTAAGACAATACATATTTATGCCATTTGTCACCACAACTACATGAAGGTTTCAATTAAACCGATAAACTCAATGCGGTATACACATATAAAATTCACAACTGACAATTTATTGTGGCTCACAACTTGGAATCTCATTGTTATAATATATGCGCGGGGCTGCATTTATGGAGTGATTTGGGAAGAGGAAAGAGGAGCAATAGTCCTATCATATTATGTTTGGAGGTGATATAATTTTTACGACAATTGTAAAAAATTTTCGAAAAAATTATTATTTATATTATAAATCAATTTTTTTAATATTAGTTCCCAAACTATAAACGCAGAACATTACTTTGCAGGTCTCCGATAACCGTGCTCGACGTGTATTATTTATTTTTAGCCATAATGTCGGAAAATTGATAAGTCGTTAAAAATAAGGGTTTCTTAAAATTTTGAAAAATAATTATAAGTATCTACAGTGTAGATTCTACACATTAGATAAGTACTTTAGGGAAGTATTAATCTGATCTACAACAGCAAATGACGATGTCGATAACGATGATTGAAGATATCGTTTCAAACAAGAACAACCTAGCGCAACTGCAACGTTCTGCTTATTACCGTGAGCACACAATTTTATTGTAATGTTAAGTTTTAAAATTGAAAACGGAAGTAAATTAATGCTGTAGAATGAATATTCGTATAAATCGTATGTAATTTTAAGGAAAAATAATAATACTATTAGGTGAAAATGTTTAAAAAAAATACAACATTAAAATGTCCGAGGAAAATTACTACGATTTATTATAAATCTGTGAGAAAACTAAGTCATCTAAAATATATATTTCGATAATTTCAGACGCTCGAAACGTTAAATGTGGATAACGACTTCCGAATCGCCGTCAGCAAACGATTTGGCAGTCTCAGGAAATACTTATCTAACGAATTCCTAACGATGTGACCGAATGCGGAGCGCTACTTTCCATTTTCAAAAACATCGCATTTTTAATAATATTGATAATAAATAATAATACTCTACGAGTATAGCGAATAAAATATATTACATAATAGAGATATGAAATTTAGGTACCGGTAAAAACATTTTCAGCCAATTTACTGGTAAGATTCGGGGAGTTATTAGTTTTTTTAAATTATTTATTTTTAGTCATTTTATCTACTTTACCTATTCCTAAAATTGTTAATTAGTGGGTTTAATTTTATAGTTTACATCATCAGTGAAAACAATATAAAATATATTGAACGATATCTGCGATATAAATGTATAATAATAACATAATATAATATAACTATAAAAGTATTAAATATTATATAATCTAATCTAACGTGTAAATTTAATGAAAATTTTATTAATAATGAATAACAGTTCATTTGTACACAAGTAGATATATCGGAAGTTACTCGATTTTAATAACGGCAAATAAAACTTCTGTACCATTTACCGAGCTCACAAATCGATGGCTATTCAGAGTTCACAGTAGGTACTTACTTTAACATCATTCAATAATTTTAATTTCACTAACAAATCTTTAGATCTTATCCATTTATACATTTAATACATACATTGTAATTTGTAATATTGTTCGCGTTGGCACAATCGGTTTGTTTTTTGTTCAACTATTAGTAATAATAGGTAGTGTTTATTAATTATTTCAATTGTTACGTAGGTACTTACTTGTCTGTTTTTCTTGTGCTTCAGTGTTGCGCTTCCGTCATTAAATGTTAACCGCAGTGCGCGCAGTTGATGCGAACTGTTTTCACGATTTTGAAACTCGCATGTTCAATAATTTATTTATCGGTTATTATAGCGAGTTCTATTTTTTGCAAAATCACTGTAACAATGTCATCAAAAGTATCTTAATTCTTGTTTTCTCGAAGTTATGTAGGTGGCACTGGAATAACGTTTCTATGTTCCGTCTAGTACATAATATTATGCTATTAAGCTTATGAAAACCGTTATTGGCCGCGGGCTTTGCTTTGTGATTTCCTCGTTTTTGGCGTCAAATAGCCCACACGAGTTTTTTTTTTCTGCGAAATTTACCTTACTGATATTTGTTTTTCGAGTTCTTTATTTTTTCTCTCTGTTGCTCATTTTCACTACCTAGTTCTTTAGGCAGCCCACTCTACTAGCCGGCTTGGCGAAAAAACTCATGGCCTTCTAAACACAGTTTTTCGTGTTGGTTAAGTTCGTTGGTTGTGAAAACGCGGTATCGTGCGTACAATTACGATCAATGTTGTGCGGTTAGCGGCACTCATTCGGTGTGCGAGATCACACCTGTGTTTCTTTTCATTGTAATTAAGTCAACTTATGTAATTACAGATATCGGCACCGCATGACACAATAACCATAACTTACAGGTACGTGGTGCACCACATAATAATTACGGCCAACAGGTCATATCAATATTATTTTGTATTGGATTTTTTTTATGTATAATACTGTAAAGGCAATTATTTTTTCTGTACATTATCTATTTACCACTCTTGTGATTTTTTATTGAAATTATTTTATTATTATACAGCCCACTGCCCTTAAATAATTGTTCATATTATTTTGGAGTCTCCTCGCTTTATATTAATATATTATACAAAGGACAATCCCTTCATTTATATCGTTGTAGTTGAATTGATTTTGGTTAATTAACGTTTTATGCGCGCGTTCCAATACATACAATGCACTTTATTATTATTATTACGCGTGCAAGTTTGTGAATACTTTTTAATCGTTTACCAGATCAAATAATAAATAAATTAACAAATAATGTATCGTTTTTAATAAAAAATCTTACATTAGATTTTTACTCAATAAAACAATATAGGTTTACAGAAATTTAAATTACAGTGACCTACTCATTGATGTATATACTTGACTTTTTTTTGATTACTACTGATTTTAGATTTATTTACTTGAAAAACCGTTTTTTTGGTGAGTCGATAAAATTCACATTAATTTGTGAATGTGTGCACTATTATGTCATGTGTTGATATTGTATACGACTTACTTTAATCCATGTGTGGGTAAGCAGGCTAGCCTGTATTAGAACCACATAAGTTGATTTTATAAATTATAATATATTATAAGATTTATGTTATAACACTTGTAACAATATCATGCAATCTTTACTTTACTCTACCGCGTGCATTGATAACATATTACATATTACATATTTACATTTATATGTTATATCATACAAACTAAAAAAATAAAAAAACGCTACACTTGGAATTTTATATTTTTTAAATATGCACATGTGTGTGTGTGTGTGTATGTGTGCGTGCGTGCATGCTGTGTATATATTTATATTAAATATTACTCAGTTTTAGTAATATAAAAATAAATGTACACATCGATGACTAGATCGACTATGTCTATACCACTGTGGTAGTATTGACATGACCTACATACAGATAAGTTGTTGTCGTCGTAATATACGTAAAACCTATTTCCGAAGTCGTCTCGGCAGCTGATGTTGCGTCGTCGATATGGTCATCACTCACCA